TAATAAAAGTATAATATTCTGTACCAAGGTACACCCCGTGATCTTCGATCGCGTATATCAAAAATTACGGGAAATAAGACGTTTTACGATGCTTGTAGAGTAATGAATACCATTTTAGAAAACCTAACCCTCACTCACCTTCTCTGGAGGAACTAGCTGGGGAAGTTCATAGTTCTGCCTTAGTCGTTTGTAGGAGTATGGGGAGAGGTATCGAAAATAATAACAGACGGTCACTAACTTCTTCCGCATTAAAACTAGACAATACACCATTGTAGAATAAACGAATCCAGGGTAAAATCGACAAGGCTAGAAGAGATATTGGTCATTTAACGCAGTATTTTGCAAAGAAGAGAGCCTTTCTTAGAAAGTGAAAATGGGAATTAAGTCAATAGTTAGGAGACAATGAAATCCAAACATCTAGATCAAAAGCTAAAAGAAGATGTGAGACTTACACAGAGAATTGCGGCTCTAGGAGCGAGACAATAGGCGCTACAATAAAGCATTCAAAAAAGCCAACAGGAATCAATGTTTGCAATCAGAAGAAATTCTACAGACAACTGGAAGATGGCGATGGGGAAGGACTGAGGAGTCAACCACCGTGTGAGAATGATATGGTTCAATTCTGGTCCGAGATATGGGCAGTACCTCGCCAACACAATGAGCAAGCATACTGGCTTCACAATGAAATCGAAGCGTGCCGATATGTAAATGAAATGCTAACAGTAATGATTACTGAAGACGATATGAGAACGGTTATAAAGAAGACACAAAACTGGAAAGCTCCTGGCCTAGATGGAAATCATAATGTTTGGTAAAAATACTTTACGGCTTTCCACCCACACATAGCTAGACTTTTTAACGATACCTTGAAATATCCATCCAACCTCCCTAAATATCTGGTGATGGGTAAGACATTTACGATGGCCAACTCAGGAGACAGTCTCCAACCCCAAAACTACCAGCGAATTAAATGCTTGTCAATGTTATACAAAATTTTGACTGCTATTATATCTTCTAAAATTAATGAACATCTCGTAGACCAAAATATTTTACCTCCTTAGCAAAATGGTTGTAAAAAGGGAACCAGAGGATGCAAAGAACTATTGGTTATATATAGTGTAGTTACACAACAAGTCCTTAAAAGACTTGATATATCTTTGGGGTGGGTAGACTATAAAAAGGCTTTTGATTCTATGCCTCATTCACGGTGGAATACGGCGACCAAAGAAGCAACAAGGGAGAAAAGAACAGATACAGATACAGGCGAGCACCAACCCAAGACAATCGTATTGCTTTCAAGAGTCTGCGTGCACTCGCTCGCAGAAAAATACTAACAGCAAAACGATCAAGCTCATAAAATCATATCTATCAGACAGAAAACAAATTGTAGTATTACCCTACCAAAAAGACAAAATAAATAATCACTCGGAGCCAAGGGATGTGACATATGGGGTCCTGCAAGGATCCACACTAGGCCCGATTTTATTTCTTATATTTGTAAATGACCAGCCATCGATAATGGAAAACAACAAAACCATACTTTTTGCTGATGACACTAATGTAATATTCAAAGAAAGAACAGCCAAAGCTTTGCAAGACAAAGCCAATTCAGCCATCGACAAGATAGTACAATGGTTCCACCATAACAAACTTATTTTAAACTGAGACAAAACAATCACAATACCCATCCACAACTCCCACTCAAGACAACAATACTCACCAAATGTAACATTAGAAGGAAACAGCATAACACAAGCACAGAAAACATAATTTATCAGAATCGCCATACAATCCAACATCAAATGTAACTCACACCTAGAAGGTATTAAATCAAAGGTGAGCAAAATAAAGTGTACTTTACAAATGTGCACTCTATTCTCAAATACGGGATAATAATATGGGGCCAAGCGCCAGAGGCTAAACAATATTCAAAATACAAAAGAGAATCATTCGAGCAATAACAAATACAAAAAGAATAGAGTCCTGCTGATCTCATTTCAAAAAACTTAACATACTTCCACTGCCTTGTATTTTTATTAATATAACTTACAGCATGTTATTATGGTGAGTAGCACACAATTTGTGTTTTTTGTTGTTACAAGCTGCAGCTCCTGCTACCAACATAATTTCTGTTTCTAGTACTCTCACCAGTAAGATGCCACTTGGGAGACACTTTGCTGGTTCACTGTACTATATGTTGCATTTTAAAAGGACCATCACTTCTGTATTAAGCTCATGTATGGTTTTTGAGGTGACGAGCAGTATCCTTGTATAGTTTCACTCATTGTATTTCCCAGCGTTCCCCCATTTTTTTTTTCTTCAGAAAGTCACCCTATAAAAAGCATTTTCATTAAATCAACACAGGTGTGAAATGATTTGATTTATTGTTGAAAAACAGTAAAAACTACATATGGCCTATGGGGGAGAAGTACAATCTGCCCATGGTTTCTTGAGATCCAGAATCCCTTCCCCACCTTTTAACTATAAATAGTTGAATGATGAATACAAGTTCTAACAAAGAGAAATTAACATAGAAAACAAGACATTTTTGCTCTAGAATTATGAATATGTATTTGCATCAGTAAAACTACAGAACAATACATTTTCAGTATTGTTAACAAAATAACAACCTATACTCCCGGCTCCCTTTCTATCACAATTAGCAAAATGAGAACTTGGCAAAAGAGGTGCAAGTTACATTTATGTCCAGAAGCAAAGCAAGGGGCCATCTCAGCATTTGCCAATGGATCCAGGAAAATGGAGACAAACCTGATAGAAGTGGTAGAAGGATTGCAAGAAATGTTTTGAGAAAATAGTGAATCGGGGGTGGGGGAGAGTCTTGGGAGTAGTGATGATACATTATTACTCCAATATATATTCCCTTTATTATTTAAAACACAGCCAAGTGTGAAGTTAAGCTTTGCTTTCGCATACAACGGAATAAATCTTTTATACATTAGTTTAAATCTTCAAATAAAATTCTGTGTGCACATTAGAGCTAGCACTCATTAGGAGTTCCTTAAAGTAGTATATGGATGAGAGGCATTTATTAAACACACTTTTAGCTCACGTTCGCAGTGCTGTACACTTGAACAAAGACATACATAATATTACGAATAGTTACCAAAATAAGATGACAACAGCATGGACTTATGCAATAGCCAGGATTGGCATCAGAATGAAGTCTGCTCTAATCGAGAATAAAAACTTGCCATAATAAACACTGAAAGCTCTACTAACACTTGTTCACTCACACGATAAGCTGTGTTTTTGTCATTCGATAAGATGTTTTTACATGTACACTATTTTCAATTTTTAATTGGTGAATCAGAAATAAAAATATTGAAAAGTTCACTCAAATAGTGAACATCTTGCCACCCTAAGTGGCAGTCATTGACCCAGAAACAAGTATATTACTTGTCACAGGCATATTAAGTCTTTTTTAAATTATGCAACTGTACACTAATGCATTATAATCTTTGTTATAATAAATATTAGTTTTCTTTTTTAAAGGCAGTATAGAGCCTAATTGTATGGAAATAGTTATGCAGCAGAAGATTTTACTTTGAACTTCAACTTTTGTATTGATTAATGCAACCTGGCAATCTGTTGAAACGTAACGTACATGTATTATATTACATGTACATGTAATGTGGATTTCTTGTAGCGTGCTGTAGATACTGACAAATAATAAATATGATTTCTCAACATTAAACATGTCACTTTTGACAAAAATGAGATTCATAAATAAATAGGCAAATCAATGGTATTGATGATTCCTGACACGTCAACTGCTAAGGTATTCACTCCCGTAAGCGTAGTGCATTTTTAAATCACTGGAGGTAGTGGTGATCTTCCCACTGTTGTTTAGCGAGATTCGGCATGAACTGCCCGCCGGTTTTGGTTTTCCCCCAACCACGTATCTCCCACCAGTGGGGCATCGCCGCAGTCGAGACAAGCTCTAATCTCCTGAGTGGCCTCCCGACAAGTATGGTAGTGTAGTGTTTGCAAGTTAAAGGTGAGGACAGGACATGGAAGAGGCTGGAAAGATTGCACGCGGTGCTGCTCCAGCATTCACTTGGTATTGATCAGGGAAATCAACGGGAAATACCGATCAGAGCAGCTGGCCACTAGAATTCTCATCCAGACACTGGCTGAATTCGACAAAGCTATGTAGCCAATGTCAAAATCTTGCCACCGTCTAGACTCAAATTCTAGGACCTTCTGAGCATAGGCATAGCAGTGACAATTGATGCCCTGAACCACCTACGAAAGGAAGGCAATGGTAAGATTCCAAGCTCAAAGAGGAGAACCATCCACAAATCATGTGGATGGTATTTGCTTATTGTTCGTTGTAATTTCTTTTCTGTATTGTAAATGTCTGGGTACTGTAGGATGAGCTTCCCCAGAATATTACGCATTATCTGCAGTGGGAATATACATATGAAAATAACATGCAACAAGCTGCTTGAAGACTGACAGATTTTGAAAGGATTCTGAATCCGAAACATAATGAACGTAATTTAGTGTTTAATTTGGTTATATGAATATCCCATTTGAGAGTTAATACAATTGAGACTCAGATCTTTTAATACCATTACATCTGCTAATTGTATATTATTCATTTTCAATGGTGCATGAGATTGCCGGTTTGAAATGAAAAAAATATTTCCTTCGTAAACTATTAATTTGTTACCATGAAACCAATGTGAAACATCTGAAACCATACTACTTGTTTTTTTTGTTTGGAAAGAACATTCGTATCTTCAGCAACCACAACTGTTCATCCTTTTATAATCATTGTGAAGGGCATATCATTTAAAAAGAAAAAGATAGGGCCTAAGATCGAATCCTGCTGGAACCCATGCTCAATTGGTAAAGAATTGGAAATATGGGTGAATGACGTTCGTACATGCCAGAATGGTAGATTTACTCTTTGTGATTAAATGTGTAAGGAATGAGGATGTGTGTGATCTGAAAACTGATGAATAATCTGAAAGTTAATAGTATTTTTTTTATTTCAAAGTAGAACATAAAAACAACTTATCCTCATAAGCATCAAAACAAATAAGGATGGCGTACAAATTATGCCAAAATGATGCACAAATAATTCACAAATAATTTCTTTTTGAAAGGGACATGATTCTTCTTTCAATTAATACTTTACATATACATATAGTAATTCAATCCACTTTCATTTATAAATATTACACACGTGATAATGATGGATTGTTTATAGAATTGGATTGTATAGGTAGAGTAAAGTGCCACTGGGGATACGTTGCTTCCTCTTTACTTGTAGTGCAGCCCTCAGCAAGAGGAGGTCGCGCTCGAATACCAAATGTAGTCGGTCGCTTCTCAGGATTCTGTGACAGCATTAAGTTAAGAAGTTCATACTGCAAAAAAACAAGATGAAATAAATTAATCACTCTCAATCACTGTTTGTTTTATGCATTCTCAGTCCATTCATAAGATGTTAAAAAAGGGAGGAATAGACAAACCAAAAATAATATTCTGACAGTTGTTTCATCATAGTTATACAGTAAATTTTTGTACTTAGCTTTTCTTAATTTAAAATAGTAATAGTAAGATATTAAGATTTTGTAAACGTGAAAAACATGATTTTTCTTTTGCCCTCAGAAAAACTGTATAAGCTTCTTCCAAAAGTGTTTCATTTTAGCAGATATTAATGAACTTTCAAATTGGAAACAAATACTTTTAGATTCGAAACAAGCTCATTCAAACCGAGACCAAACATATTGAAATTGAGATCACACACGTTCAAATAGAGATTAATCACCTTCAAATTGATAAAAAACATAACTTTTTCATTTTTAGATCCAAGGCAATAAAATGAAGAATGAAGTAAATATATGAAATAGTAATATATTTTACTGAAACACACAGAACAGAAAAATATATATAATTAAGATAAGATAGATTAAATTAATTACACAATCATATCAATTAAATTTAAAGCATCTGGATCAGACAGAACGTTTCTTCATGGACAGCTTGGCTTTAGAAATTCCTTTTCTTGTAAAAGTTATATAATTTCCCATGCTCAAGATTTGTCTAAAATAAATGATTTATGCAGAAGAGTTGATGTGACAGTTAGGTGTCGATTTTGCTAAAGTAAATTTTGTTATCAGCAAGTCATGCGATGTAGTGCTGCATGACTTACCAATATTGACACTCATCGATGCTAAAATTGGCAGGTGGGTAATGGCATGGATATATGAATTTCTTGGCAACAGAAATCAAAAAGTTGACATTGGACAGCATTTATTGGAAAAGGGTAACGTTACTTCCCAGGTCCCTCAGCTGTTTCTCATCTTTGACAATCTTCTTATCTACCAAGTGGTCTTCTGGACAACAACATATGGACTAACAAGACTACAGTAAGGACTTATAAAGAGTAAAGGAGGATAATTAACAAAAATGTAACAGATTACTCAAAAAAAAGGTTAAACGCCCAAAGGTTAGGAGACATGTTGCGTTGTATTTTTTTTGAATTCGTTGAATTTGCTAAATTCGCTGAAGCTATGTGTTCATGTTTTCTACTGAGAACTAACTCAACTGATGGCTATTACTAAATGTTAATCTAATATTACTTACATGGTAATTTAATTATAACACAACAAAATAGTATTTACATAAAAACAATGCTTATCTTTTATGTTTATAATGCTTCAATGAAATCTTTGGTTTGACAAATTTGCGTTCTACATATTGAGGCTAGTACTCATTGAACCTCAAATGATAAGTTATTGAGTGTTCCAAAGCATACCTATCCAACTAAGAAAAAAGTATAATATAAAAATAAGTAGATGCAAGTTAAGAAAAATAGTATGTAAATAATTGTATATACTTTTATTAAATGTCTTTCAAAACAATTTATTATAATTAATCATTTTTTCAGAGAATCGAGTTCAATGGATATTCGATCTTTGTCTCATTCTAACTTGTGCATAATTGACAAAACTGGTTTCTCCTATACTTATTGTATTAGACTGAGCAGATTTAGATTACTTATCATTTAATTAAAAATATTTTGCATTTAAAAAAAGTCCACAACTTTGTGGGGGAAAATATATATATTTAGCTATAGCAACAATCTTATAGTTCATTGCGTTTAGTTTTCTCTTTGAATATCCTTAAATGTGAATAAAAAACCATCTAAATGTTTCCGCAAACATACTGTGCACACAATAATTTCATGATTTTCTTGAAATTTACATTGAAATTCCTTTAGTGTAATCCTTGTGTTTCTTGCAATCTAATCAATAATTAATTCATGATGTTCTTCCGTAATTTTCAGCTTTCCCCATGCACCCTGTGGTTTGCTTTCATTTTCACTCTTCTCCATCAATAGGCAATAGATTTAGAGTTTTTTTTATTCCTAGCTGTTCAATTTTTACAATTTTTCAGGGCTTTAAATAAAATATTTGCCAGACCTTGCTGATCTTCATTATTGTTAAATAAAGCACATATTTACTTTGATGCTTTCTATCTCCCTTTTTAATTTATGACATAATTAATCAACAAGAAAAACTGTCTTGGACAACTTAACAGAGCACAACGACATAATCAGTTTTTGTCAACTAAAACAATTGCCTGTTTACTTCTCGTCTTGAAGTTGTTTGGTCTCAATATGAAAACGATACGTTTCAATTTGGGTGTGATTTGTCTCAATGTGAATGTTTATTCCTAATTTGAGCAATGGGGGTGTTTTCTTCCCAATTTTAGAAAAATTGGCGATGTCAAAGATATTCCCTTAAATGTCCTTTGCACTATTCAACAACAAAATTAAATACAAAAATTTGGAGCCGTTTTTTAACTTTGAAAATGTTCTCTTTAAATGACATTATCATGTAAAGTACCCCCAAAATTAAAATAACAGTTTCAAATCCCAGGGGCGGCATCATCAGCAAGAACGATTGGGTAATATCAATTCTGCAGAATATTGGATGAACGGTTTATGCGCTTGCGTTGTGCACAGACAAACAGACTGACGGATGGATAGACGTTTTGCCATCAATCAATTATTCAGTATGAAGATCGCACAAAACATGTATTCTGGCTACACTACTTGTTATAAGATTTCCCCCTATATTTAGCAAATGGTTTTATACACTTTTTCCTTACCAAGGCCCGGCAATACTAGTTTTTGTGTCGAAAATTCGCCGTTATCAGGCGCACATTTACAGTACTTCCTCTTCTAACGTTAGCAAGTGCGAAAAATTAAAATTGATGTAATACCTTTACTATCGTCCCGTCAACTTAATTTAAATATATGCTATACGTTTTGAGATTTCAGTAAGCAAGGGTATAGCAACAATAATACAATGAAAACCAACATTTCCTCAATTTTTGACATCACCATTTATTATTCTGTGCATTATACCACACATGTCCTTCAAATATTTAATAGTTAGTTATTCAATTAGCCCATTCCTTGCAACTTTGTATCTCTTTATAAGGAGTCCATTAAGGAATTTATTAAAAAGCTAGTTTTTATTAAAAATTCACAAATACCATTCTTAAAACTTGAAACAAATCAGAAACAAATTAAGATCTCACAGTGTCAAAACATTACCTCATCTTTAAATTCATCTTTGAAAGATTCTGGAAACATATTTCTTCGAAGAGCGAGTAAAACATCAGCTCTTTCCATTTGTGTAGAGAATGGATATAGAAGCTCAAACAGAATTACTCCAAGTGAATAAATGTCTACCTTATAATCATAAGGTAATCCTTCAACCTGAAATAGAGTAAAAGACAAATCAGGTTATAGAATTAACTAAAAACAACAAAAAGATATCATTTTCTACAACCGATTTAAATTCGAAACTACATGACACAATAACAATTTATGGTACAGAATTGCAAACTATATCTGTGAACTTATTTTTCAATAGCATTCCGAAACAAACATCTGTATTTTATGTTGGGTTTACAGAATCCGATGATAAAGTACACTAAGTTATTTACGAGTCCAAAAGGAAATAGTGTAAACTGTATTCAAAATTGTTGAAAAAAGTTTTTATCATTGGTCATTTTTTGCAAAAAAAGATTGCCCAAATAATACATTAAATATTGTTTCCTGTCGCTACTATTGCCTTCTTATCTCACGAATATGAAATGAGAGAGAAAACAATTATTTGTTATTTAGGATAGTCATATTCGCGTAAGCAGCCAAAATTGCGCATTTACACCTCGTGTAAGGGGTTCCGCAGGAGTTGAAAATGGCCGCCTCCTGCGTGCACGCAAGGTAAGCGTCCGTGCCGCACGGCCTCCGTGACGAGCACAACTCTGTCGGTCGGAATGAACTGCCATGCTTTCAATGCGGCGATGATCATCACGACCCTCGACTTAAACGCGGTCTTCCGTTAACTCCTAGCTCCAAAAGCGTGGGGAATACCTGAGTTATAAAATTCAGATTCTTACACGCTCAGGTAAGAAGCGAGGATAAATTTACCCGCAATGCCAACCTACACAATTATAGAGAATGGCTCTTGGTGAGCTACACTACGTGCAATATGCGGATTTTCCTCGGTTCTCACATGCAAATTGTGCACATCAATTGTGCCAGTTCTTGCAAAATACGCTTCGCCTGACCAAAGAACGATTTTTTTGGTTTTCTAAGTATTTGCCCAGGAAATGGCTTTAGAAATGAAAACGACGTTATAAGTCTCTACTGCGCACATGCCACACCCGCTGGAAATGGAAAAGTCGTAAGAATTTTTCGCCAGACGAGACACTGTGATGTGTTAAACCTGGCGTGCTCTTTGCCTTGTGCTCGCTTCGGAGGATTCTCGGATAGTGTTAGCAAGGAGGATGATTATGGAGGTTTCCAGAGAAATGGCGAGCTCTACAGCCCGAGGTGACGCCCTTCGCTCTCTCGGCGTTGCCCGTATTACACGAGCACAAGCGCATAGTCCAAAGTTCAACGTTAATTATTTTCAAAACTCAACGACGAAGTAACCAATTTCGGCAAATTCAGTCTGCATATTACATATGGGATAAGCTCCCGGTGTATAAGCAACGAGGACTAAATCACACTGTATATTTCACATAAAACTAGGTCGATTTCAGTTTCTGCTGTACACAATTGTTTATACGAGCGCGAGACGTGTTGGAGAGGCCGCGCAGCCTTGACTCGTCACCGGGTCGCATCTTCCTGGGCGCGGTTCCTGGGAGAGCTCTCACCACCGCGAGGCGGCTCGCCTCCGCCCCGTCTCGGTTTTCGGGAGGGCTATCCCACGGTGAAATTCATTCCTCCTTCATCTTACCACCTCTCAGCGAGCGCCTCGTGGTCGCCACAGGCGTAGATCACTGCGGCGTACGAGTGGTATTCTATACATTTAAAAATCATCGGTACTCGCGTGCTAAAAATGCGTTCTTTTTTTTTTGTTCTTGCAATGCTCGCTCTTGAAATGCGCTCGTTTGTATACTTTCCTATAATCGTCGTTCATATAATGTCTTTCGTCTTGCTGTTGTGGTGCTTCGCAACAAGAACTCTGCCCTGCTCTGCACTCACGGTGGGCACCTGTATACTGCCAGACATCTAGCTGCAACTGCGTTAACATTTCCGAATAATCAGGACTACAGGATGCCCATCAACGCACGCCATACTGGCCCATGCTTTTCATCACTCGCATACTTGCGAATCGACTTAGGGCGCTAACCGCGCCCTTCACATTGTATATGCCGCGGTGCGACAGTGTGATGTTAGATTACGGCGGCGGAACGCCCGCCAGACGATCGCGGCCGTTGATTTACAGCCCGTACGGTGAAAGGCCGTAAATTGGAAGCAGCACGGCGAAACTCCGACCGCCTCACCCCCCCCCCCCCCCCCCCCCCCACATCCAGCCTTCAGCAACTGAGAGGATACAAGAATTGTCGAACTTACCTCATTGATTGTATCGGAACAACACCCTTTGTCTTCTTTTGTACATTCAAATATTTTGTCAATAAATTTAAAAATGAGTATTACCATGATTTCATCAATCAAACACCCCGGAGACCCTATGTAGAAACTTAAATAAGAGATAATATCATTTAATTGCTTGTTTCTTTAGATTATAAGATAGTGTGAGCATGATATATTTTTATTTGTTCTTTTCCAACAGGCGTCACAGCGACTTTTTCAATTATTAAATTATTAAAATGCCTCTTACATTTCATCTCCCGGCCAATTCACCTATTTCCGCTTGGGAGGGAGTTCTCCATTTTCGTAACTTTCTACACTACAACGTTGAGCTATCATTGGCCGATTTGTGTGCGTGCGGTGTTCGTGTAAGGCCTGCCGTCAGTCCACGCAGGGTAGTACCACATCCGCTAATACTTCAGGCACATACACAACATTTTGGATGAATTAATTAGTTGGACACACATTTTCTTGCATAACTCTCAACTTAAGAGAAATGTCCAAGTCAGGATGGTCTGCTGTTAGTTATTTAAACAGTCCCACAAACTTTGGCAACATTGCTGTCGCGTCAACGATGTATGCCACAGCACCAATCAACGTTCGTAGCTGATAGGTAGGGACTGGATTTCAATACTAATGCATATTTTCCCCTGGTAATAAGATGGTATGCTGACTTGATTCGTGCATGAATCACTCATTTTCTATTATTTACTATAATCTTACAATTTACATAATTCTTCTTATATATTTTACGTTTTTTACTAACTTGGTTTTGATTGATTAGTAATTCCGGGCGCATCAATTGCTAAGGTCATTAGTTCCGTACATGTAGTGCGTGCTTTTTTCCTCTGCAGGTGGCGGTGATCTTCCCCGCTATATGGTGGGAAACGGCGCCGACCTGCCATCGGTTAGCAGGGTTTACCCCAACAGGTATCCATCAGACGGAGACACCCAGATGGGACCAGCTCTAAGCTCCCTACCGCTCTCCCGGCATGTGAGATAATGTAGTACATGTTAGCGTTGGTGTGTGTAAAGGATGAGGATAGGACAAGGAAGAGGAAGGAGAGATTACGCGCGGCTCGTGGCCCGTTTGTTAAGGTACTTCTCCCGCATTCGCCTGATAACTAATTTTGTAATTTGTATTGTCCATTGCAGATAAACTAACACGCGTAACTAGAACTCCCACAAGTCACAGAATGAACATATGAGTGCGAAACAGCTGGTCAAAAGAAAGGAACATCCCTTTTCATGGTGTGAAGGTGGCTGCTGGGGGGGATCTTGGGCTTATGCTCAAAGGTTTCTTTTAATAATTGATAATTACAGTACATAAAACACAGAACGTGACAAAAAGGTACATTCTTATTAAGCGGCGAGTATGAATAAATAAACAGGAAACACTTACGTGGGTACTTAAAAAAAATAAAATTGGTAACGCAGTAAATTAGTTAACCGTTGACGTGGAAACAAGTCATCGTCAGTGATTTGCCGATCATTATATAATTACAAATGGAGAATACCTATTCTATTATAAATCGCACCACAGTGTGTGTAGACGAGGGCTACATTGACATGTGTATTGAGTCTGGCTCTACCAGATGTAACAATATTTACAGACATGCGACATCTTTAATTTTTACACCAAATGACATTATCTTATCCTGCTATCTCATCTCCTCCATTTTTAATTATAACGATATAACATAATTATATTATAATAACGACAGTTTTGTTACCACCACAGTACGTAGTTCACATTACAAAGTTACAGTAGTAGTACTTCTGCAAATCTCCGACAGCGCTGTATTACCTAATTCCCACGAAAACGACAGCGATAAGGATAATTACGATGTTCACGCGTGTAATGCAGACCTTCGTAGCAAATTTTGCAAACCCATAACTATTATTCTCTGAATTATTTCATGTCCCGGCTCATGAAATATCACCCCACCCACGCAACAGCGTGTGATTGACCAATCAGCAATAACCCAACATGACGCGCTGGTGCGAGATCGGCAGTCAGTGATATATGATATTTTGCCACATCACGAACTCATTGTAAAATAATATGAACCGGCAATATTTGTAGTTTCATTACGTGTCCGTAATACATCGTAGGGCGTGGGCTAAATAGCCGTATAAAACGCTGGAAGTTGTACACGCTGGAACGCAAACAACTTTTCTAAAAGAAGGGGTTTGGATTTTTTCGTTGAAGGGAGTGAGGGGAGACAGGATTGTAGGGATTTTTATTTCAATTTAGCACAATAATTGAAGTCCACGATGAGTGTGGGAGGCAACATCTAAACGAAAAAAATGGTTTCAACTTCTGTGAAGAGAGCTTCAGAATAGGCGGAATCACCTCAACTGCGTTCACCTACACCAGCGTTGCCAACTCAATGCTCTGTGACGTCACAAAACTCTGCTCTCCAGCTCGGAACCAGTGCCGGACGCGGCGTCGGGAGTTCAGTGTTCCAATGATGGTACAGAAGTGGAGGGGGGAGGTTCGCTCGATAATACAACAATTTACGGTAAGATATCTTCATAACAAAAATAATGCCTTGATCCAAATGCTGAAGGCAACTTGTTGCATGGGGGGGGGGGGGATAAATATTTTTATTGGCTACGTTTAGATCATGTATGTTATGGGCTGTACACCTGTCCAATGGCAGAAGAACTTGCTTATTTTGACCCACCATTTGACTGTTGAAACGAAGCCACTTCCGAAATGATGAGCTGTCGATCCAAGGTTTCTTACGGTTAGAGTAGATGCAAGGTAAAGTGACGATTAAGTTCTTGAAACAACACGATTTCTCTAAAAGTCATGTTTTGACGTATTCATATCTAGGACTGGGAGGTCCCTTGGATTTCTTGCCGGAACCAGACGCAGCAGCACCCAGAATTTTATTACGACTTTAAGTATTGTGGATAAGATGGATTTGGGAAGACCATACTTTTCAGCAATTTCACTTTTATTCTGTACACAAGGGTTTACTTCCTCCATAAATTTGAGTATCGTTTGCAGATCAATGTTGCTCCCCTCTTATGATACTGCTTGCAGCTCTACCAGATGGCGACGAGGCGTGGAGGGCGAGCGACGGCGCTGCGTACGAGGCAGTGGGAAGCGTGCAAGGCCTCGCGGAACCCAGCGCGAGGACGAGCTGCGAGGCGGAGGGGTGGCCCTGAGCAAACTAAAAGGTGGGGCAAACGCCGCAGAGGGAGGTTCCTCGTTAGTCCTTAAGAGGATATTCATTATTGAGGCGCAGGTTGGTGCGAGAAGTAATGTAGGCGGCGGGTTGTCATATGCATCCATGAATTCTGTCCAGCAAATAGTTAAGTCACTACAGGAGATGTAATCCAGATTTCCTGGTATCGTCTTTCAAACGCTGAAATAGTTGAGATGAATACGCTCACCATGGCCACAAAAAACTCCACCGTCATTTTCAAAGATCCGAACAGAGTGACGTAAGTAAACTTTAAGAATATGTTGCATCCTTCTGGAGGAAACATCATTAACAATGTTTTTTCATTGTACGTGATCAAGACATTAAAAATGTCTCTTAGCTCCTTAACTTGTAGTTGGGAGAGTTTCCCAGACGTTCACTCATAAGATGATTCATCTCATTTTAAGTTACCTTCGGTGGATCATCCACCGTGGATGATGTGTTGAATGAGTGAAAGGAATGCATAATATGAATGTTCACGGGAAAATTCTCTTTCGAAGAGGCAAAAGAATCTTCATGTATTTTGAAAATGACACCAATGAAGTAGTTTTTAATATGATATTCATAATTTGGACTACACAATCAGAAACTATTTATTTTATGCCTGAAAAAATTTCGCTGTTAAACAGTGTCATCAAGCTTCAATTCAAAAACCACAAAAACGAAATCCTTGAGACAAAATACCACAATAATATTTAAATTTAATACATAACATTTTATGGCATACCTGTTCTGGACTCATGTACAATTGTGTACCAACTTGTGCAGTGTGCTTTCCTTCCTTATCAAACTTGGTTTTGGTTTCACATATGTCAGACATATCCTTCGCAATGGTTGTTACCAAGCCGAAATCTCCAACTTTAATTTGTCCATTCAGAGAAAAAAATATATTTGATGGCTGCAAGGAAATGCAACAAATTAGTCAATTAGGAATAGAAATGCTAATATTTCAAAGCACATCTTCACAACCATTTTGACACCACAAATTCTTATATAGTATTTAAATTACAATGCAAGAAAGTGGATGTCTCCATAACTACACGAGAGAATTCAAGAGCTAGGACGATAGGCCAAGTCTGGGAATCTTGTTGTGTCAAGGAAAGTTACTTTTGCCTTGATACACAATATTTTATTTGAGACCTCAATTGTATAACAATTTAATGGCATGAATACTAATTTAATTGAGAATTAGAAGGACATACTATGTTATCCCCGTTTGTTTTGATTTTTGTTTGATAATTGAGAAGGACATTATGTGCCATTTGCAATCAAGGAAAATACATACTTGACAATTTATTTTCATATTTTGGAACAGCTAATTTAGATTTATTGCCAAGTAAATCCAAAGTAGAGAATGAAAGCGAATATACTTTTTTCCAGTTCAAGAAATCAGAAAACAAAACATTGTTATGGAGAACGTGCTCTTAGCATACACTGTATTTACGCGAATCTAAAGCGCACATTTTTTTGACCAACTGTAATACTCAAAATCGTGTACGTATTCGATGGCGCATTAGATTCGAGTGAAAATACATTCTGTAGAACGCCATTAACTTAACTTTTTTCGTTTACTACGGGACAATGGAATGTTGTAGTTTTCAAGTTAAACTTGAATTTGTTTCAACGTTTCAGTTTCGGTGCGGAAAAACATTTTTGCTGAGAGAAAACACTTTTGCAGGTTCATGTAGTAGTATAATATTGCGGAGCAGTTACAAATAAAGCGCGAAATTAGAGCAACCAGTTAAACATTGAATATATGTATTTGATTTAAGTTACCTTACACCAAAGAATATAAACTTCTACACAATTCTTATGTAACGAATTTCCTGTTTTAAACGGTACTCAATGCCAAAACAATTTATTAAAGAGATATCCTTTGATACATATACTTTACTTTACGAAAATTGATTATTACATAGTCAATATCTTGTTAAGAAACTGTTCATGGAGAAAATCTTACCTTAAGATCTCGATGAATAAGACCTTCAAGATGTATGTACTCAACAGCGTGTACAATTTGTTCAAATATTTGTAACATTTTCTTTCGATCGCGTTTTGTTACATTATCATACAACCATTCTCGCAAACTCTCCTTGAGGCAGAGTTGCATTTGAATGTACAAATACATTCTAGTTGGTGGTGATACAATTTGAACGCTTAAATCTTCACTTGACGTCACTTCTGAACATTGATTTGTGTGAGAAGCATGATTGTCAAGTGACTCAAGACTAGATGATACATCATGATCCGTACTTTCGACATTTACAGATACATGATCAGTTGTAGGGCACATTTTGGAGGATTCGCTTTTTTCAAATATTATGAAAGAATCATTTTCTTCAAGTACGTCACTTGATTTATGGGCAGGGCCATCTAGCATGCTTTCTTTCAGTATTCGAGAAGTTTCTTCTACGAGAACTTCACGTACAGAATTTGAAGTTTCTTCTGTAGCAAAATTTGAGTCCAAAATTTGAGGATGCCTGAAATCAACATAAAACAGAAAACACTTCAAATGCCAAGATTAAGAAAGATCTTGAAGGAAAGGAAGAAGACAAAAATATTGTACTACTGATTGAAGGGTAATCAAGAGTACCATTAATAAAACAAACAACAGTAACGATATGTCACTTTCATTACTATAAATATCCTTCAGAATAATAACAGAACACAATATAAACCAAATCTCTTTTGGAAGTGGATATAAAAAAAAAATTAACTTTCGAATTCATAATAGGTATATTAAAATGAACAATGAAAATATTGAGAAATATTAATCAGATTTATAGATCTAACCAAAACCAAATAGTGTGTTTAAAAGCAAGTGTAATTTTTGGAGGTGATCAATAAATTGACATTTCAATTACAAACACAATATGCTACTCAAATTTTTTTTTTTTTTCATTTATTTATAGTCGCATTGACATCTGCGGTCATTAGCAACTCAAAACTGGTACATTAATTAAAAAATAGTTAATATTTAATTGTTAATTAGTAGAGAGTACAGACATGGGAGTAATAAATAGTTAGCATTGTTCGGGGTTAATACATTGCTTAGTCAATTTTGATAGATTTTGACTTTGTGCAATTTGCCAATTTTACATTTCCTGAAATAGTATTTAGTGTATAACCACAACTAAATGGGGTGAACAAAATAGTATGAACTCCATGCGATATAGTACTCGCACGATGGCTCCACTGTGGATGTGTGAACTCCACGACGCGGCTGCACTGGACAGTTTAAGTGAAACTTTTTAAAGGCTATTCTGCAGTGTACTGTAGACTGTTTGCGGCGGTGAACACACGCTATTGGTGAAATGTATGATCCCTCAGACTTCGAAAGACGGCAAATCGTTGGTGAGCGGTACGGTAAACGGTCGCAACGTTCGCTAAACGATTGTTGAGGGGGTCCCTTGGTTCATCTCGGCCGTCAGTTGCTGTTCACTTGCATGTCTATCCGCCTGTACACATCTCCACAGCTGTCGATCTTCTCAGGTCCGTGGTGCGCTACACAGCTGTCTTGGTGCCGGTTTTGAATATCGCATTTTGCCATGCACATAATAAATCATGACGGCACGCGAACACTTTACAAACTTAGCCGTTTCGAAAATGCTTTACCCATGGCTCGCAAGCCAATAACCATGCCCTTTTAGACGGCCGATAAATCGCATCGTTTCTGCATTGGGACAACTGCACTGTTTTCCGCTTCCACCTGACATGCTTTATTCACCTTCCTCCACCATAAGTGCTGTCACGTACCGTCTGTGAGGGGTTATTACTTTTAATATTGTACATTTATCTCGAACATACGCGGTGGACACATTAATGCGACTGGGCTGCGTAAAATGGCTCTCAAGTGGATGAATATCCCCAACAAACGTTCGCATAACTTAACTGACTGAATAGCAGTAGGTAACACACAGAACTTCCACATTAGAAATTGCATAAATATGCAATATAGGACACAGAATATTCCCAAGGACTAGAGTAGGTTTGTGGCAAAATGTCAAAACTGCCATGATAAAAGTTGTAGAGATGAATATTTTTGGAACCATTTAATCAAGTAATTTCAAACGTTTTGGAATTGTAGCTATCCTATACTTCAGTAGTTTTGGAACAGAATGCAATATTTACATTGCGTTTCCACAAGGAATTAAGTTTTGAGCAAACTAATATTGATTGTTGATCGAGAAAGATACGAAAAATATTGAAATTTTTTAAGCTTGGACTTAATGGCAGTTATGGAATTCGACCACTCAAGGAGTGTATGTATAAATTTAAATTGTGTGGCAAGTTTACCAACCGAATGTAGTGAAAAAAGTACCATTGTGCTGAAGCTACACGCAATAGTACAACACACACATATACTATTGTTGAGCACAGCCAATTTGAACTGAATAATGAACAGTTATTCAACGACAGATAATAAAAAGTAACCAATTGATCACCAGAAACTTGTAATGAAAAACTCGCAATTAAGAGATTTAATGAACGTCTGCATATAATTCATAATAAACTACTAAGAATTTGAAAATATTTTGCTTACCTTTTTAAATGCACTGAATCATGGTGTTCAACCCATCCAGAAGGTGGACATTCCATCCAAGCATTGAAATAGCGAACAATATGTTGATGGTCCAATTTTGCGAGAGCTTTCACTTCACGAAGAACTCGGTCGCGTGATTCTAAACTTCAAACAGAGAGAGAGAAAGACATCAAAAATACATAAAAGTCACATAAGATTCAACGGAAATAGTTTATCAAAAACAAATTTGTTTAATATTTTAGTATTAGGTTAACGCGCAAAATCACGAGAGGAAACTTAATTCTACTATTAATAATTCATAAAAAAATATTTATATTTCTTACAAACAAAATGCAGTGCGAATTTTTTCCTTTTATTTTAATACACACAAATTTTCCCTATGAAATTGCTCTTAAAAACCCTCTCATTCACAATTGTTTTTTTAATCTCGAGAGAACTACGCAAACTTGACCATAGAAACGTAGGATTCCTCTAAAAAACACCATTTGTCGAAAGTTTCGGCCCGGACACATAAAATGAACGCATTTTAATAAAGTTTTTGTCGCATTTAATTGTAATTATTTACATTTTAAGTGAATCTTGACCTATTGCAACTACTAATACAACATACGAGTAATTGAAATTGTTCGTGATTCCTTTGAATCTATCGACAGTCATGAATAGGAATGCACAGGAAAATTCAACCGAGAAAGGAGCATTTCTCCACGCGACTCGAGAAATCTAATCTGCAGTTCTCCATCGTCCTTTTGGTGTTCATAAAGCCGCGAGAGAAGTGTACGGAGCTGGATATATGCAAGTAGTGAGGCCAATTCTTCGACTATATCTTCTGGTGAGGTGAGACGAGTTCCATTTACCAGAAGCCCTGGGAGAGACGGTGGAGGAAGTCTTCCACCGATCTGTCGAACCTTTCGCCACACTAATTTAGGGGGCGTACGGCAAGATAATGATGACATATAAGTTCTCCAGGACGCGGCCATACTTTCATGTATGATGTATCTAGCTTTGGCACGGGATTTATAATTCATCAGATGGTTGGTAACCTAAGTAGTTCTGTCAGCGCCCGCTTCCGATCACGCACCGCGGTGGCACAGTCGGCATTCCACCATGGCACACGATATCGTGGGCTACCTCAACTTTTGAGGCCGCATGAAGAACGGCATCAGTAAAATGGGCAACCACAGCATCGATATCGTTTCGACAGTTTCCCGATATCCGTTTTCCTATCTCGAATGTTTCCCACTCAACTCGATGGGTTAGCCAGCAAGGAGGACGGGCAACGTTTGGGTCGGGAATATCGAAATTGAGCAGAATAGGGAAGTGGTAACTGTCATGCAGGTCGCCAAGGACAGCCCACTCGGAGATGGTAGAGAGAGATGGACTGCAGAGAGCCAGATCAACGGGGAGAAAGTGTTTGAAGCCGCGGGAAAATGTGTGCTTTCCCCAGCATTGAGAAGAATTATCTTCGTCAGAAGACTTCCGTTTGTGACCGTATGTATTTCTGAGATTCATAACATGAAATAAGGCTCTCGGTTTCTTTATGTTCGGACGTTAAGTGTCATTGACGCCCCTTAGTTCGAACACAGTGTCCGACGGGAGGAGGGCTGCCTACGTGCTCTGGTGAACAAACTATTTTTTTAATGTTATTAATGCGTGTCCCTATTTGAAATTTGACAGATCTATACAACATTAGTGCGGAAATACACGGGTATTTTTTATAATTAATATAAGTGCCAACCTAATGAAAAAAAAATTTAAAACTTAACCTATATTTTATAGCTATTAACATACTTATAAATGTTATAAGTGTTATCACTGTGGAGGCCAAAAGTTAAAAATCGAGGCGGAGCGTAGCGAAACCGAGATTTTTAATGTTGCATTTTATCGGTCACCATAAAATCTCACGATTTTTGCGAAAATTTGCGACCTTACTGCGATAGTAAACAAATGAATTCTGTTTCTGCGGCACGTTATCATATGGTGGGATGTTGCTTGGGTTATATCTAAACAATATTTGTACACCGTAATTTGAGAAAAGATGCAAATAATTCTCCTGAACCTAAAGATACTTAAAGAAATAACTTTCAATGAGGAAGATTGCGCAACGACTTCTAGAGGCGACACCTGCACGTCAGTAAATATGATTACCGGAGAAGAGTTTCATTTGGTGGAATTCCAGGAAAATGAGGTTAATTTACCTAATACACAATTTTATTTGCACTATTAATATTACAAATAACAATAATTATCCCCAAAACTAATGAGTTACTTTAATTCTGAATTGTTTGAATCTGATTTGTACAAAACATCGCCAGCTTTTTGAATAAACATTTGACTTGGGATGAATAGGTTGTTATGTATTTACGTTGCTAAGGATGTTAAATTTCTTAACATACAGGTACGTGCACTTAACAAACCTGTGGGGATACATGTTAATAGGGGTTAAAGACGTATGTGATCGATAAAATATTTAAATAATACGTTTTCAAAAATTAGATTTACATTAAAGTATGTTTTTTAAAGTGAAATTTTATTGTGCCGAAGGAAACGGTATTTGCGCAAACAAATTTTAAACATTAGCGCGCGCGTGATTCTTCCGAAAAAGTTATTGGTGATATTTCTGAAAGGGGTGAGATTACGGGAAAAAATACGTGTCACCTATTTTCAACTCCAGATCCATTAAAAGTATTGTAAGTCGCTAAAAAAATGGTGATATGTGCGATTTATGAGAGTGCGATTTAACGAGAAATGACTCATTTATGTCATAATATACCAAACTCTGTCATTAAGAAAAAAGTGGAAACATCAATGTCATTTACGGAATGTAAAACTAGTGTTTAGTTGTAACAGGTTCTTTTCTTGAAGACGAGATCTTAAGTAATTCCTCTTGCCTCTTTGAAAGATTTAGATCTCTTACAAGATCGTCCAATTCTGTGTGCGACAATGCCTGTGATTACAGCCATGGCGCAGATTGCATGTAATCAAGATCATGATCTGTTGGTTTGTCACTAACATTGTATCATCTTCCAGAGTCCATTCAGTTAGTGGTTTTGGAACTTGGAGAGAATCAAAATGCGCAACAGAGCACATTGCAGATTCCAAATTTGGATAAGAAACTGAGTGTTTTGATTTATCAGCTCGACACACAGGTCGTAGAGCTTCTCGATCGGAGGACGCCCTGATACATTTTACGGGGTTGCTTCTAGTTTGGCAAAAAATTCCCAACAGTGATTTCTCAAAAAAAGATTGTAGAATACAAAATAATAAGAACGAAAAATCCAAAGAGTGCGGAAAAATCAAAACAGGTAGTAATAGTCTCTCAACGCTTGAATTGGCAATTATCTCTAATACAGGCACTATAAAACCCTCGCAAAAGCCATTTCTAGGTGAATATGCATAGAGGAGTAAGTTGCCTGAAAATACATTCAAAGAAATAAAAAAGGCAAATATGGCATTGTTCGAGCTCTAGTTATGATCCAACGAACTACAGACATACATCCATATTCTCAGGATTTTCAAAAATTCTAGAAAGGTTTCTCAACATTAGACTCAAACAGGTTCTCAATGCAAATCATATCCTCAGAAAGACGCAAAGCATCAGGAATAATAGATCCACAGACACAACAAGCTTCTCCTTTTTAAATGACATACTTGGTGCACTAAATAAAAAAAAAATTCCAATTCGGCTTAGATTTGTAAAACGCCTTTGACATTACTGACCACTTACTTGCAAAAAAAAAAAAACAACTATAGCGCATCCGAGGTTAAGAATGAAGTACAGGGCCCTGTAGGCTTTTCCGATAAATGAACATCCCTCCAGTTTTTAACAAAACTGCTTGAAATTCTCATTAACATAATTTGTCGTAAGAACAATTACATTAATAAAATAATAACTCTAATACATTATATATTTACCACAAATTGTGGTGAATATCTTTCGAATTTATTAATTTTTGTATAAAGTGATACATCCGACTATTGGATCAGCCACAGTGCGGTGCCACATGCTTAGGTTGCCGAATCACACTGTGCTCAGAAAGTTCCAGTCCGGTTACTAACCTGTATTTGTTCACATATGTTTGGTTTTGTTTTGTTTTTGATATTTATGGTTTTAATCATGCCAAACTAAAAGGATTTGCGTTTACTATTTTTCCTTTTATTTTTTGGGTTGTGGTTAATTAACAATTTAAAAAAATGTAATTTCTTTTTCTTTGCAAACTTCATATAGAATGTATGATCCACTGCTCATAAAGCGCAAAAGTTGTAAAGTGATCCATAGAGGAGAAAAAGAAATGGTTATTAATGTTTATAAATGACACAAACAATCTTCAAAGCAAAAACACAACAATTATTAGAAAAAGAAATTCACAAGTGTTTGCATGCACTAGTAAAATGATTTCAAGACAACAAACTCACCATAAACACCAGAAAGGCAGTCTCTCTAAATTTCATGATTCACACATCCCAAGAAAAATGCTCACAGCATTTGCTCATAAACAATAATCCTGTAATGATATCTCATGAAACTACCTTCCTCGATCTGACAATCCATGAAAACCTAAAATGGAATGCTCACATTTAAAATCTGAACAAGCAGCTCACCAAAACATGCTATGCCCTACACACCAAGTTAAACTTCAACATTGAGACATTTCGGATAATTGTGGGAATTTTGATGAGGTATTGTTGAAGTAAATACATGAAGAAATAAAAGATGTCATCTCTGACAATTTAATATGTTTATTTAGACAACCGGCTTTTGACGGCTTAGCTATCATCAGTCTACACATATTAATAAAATGAAATATAAGTATAATACCAAGCAAATACAAAATAAGACAGAGTAGGAGGATTTAATATAATTAATATATACATTTAACTAGCCAATTAAATTACAAAGTACAAAATGTAAGGGGGAACATTAATAAAGAGGCCAGTATAATATGAAATTACATCAATAAAATGCAAAAGTTGGGGATTAACATAAATAATAGACACATTTAAAATTATATCATAACCCACCAATAGAAATTTAAATTACACAATATTAAATACAAATAAAGAAATACACATTAAATTGCAAAAGATACAACAAAAGAAGGGCATAGTAATAATAATTAAAAACCAATAGAAAACGATGTTACATAAAGTGAAAAAAATAAGTTGAGCCCCTTTGTGGTTTATCTCGCTGTTGTGGCAAAAGTCGGAAGACAGGGCCCAAAGGGAATGTGACACGAGGTTTTTATAGCATTTGTGAGGGGTTGGAAGAGGTGCATTTTTTGTCTTCTTGGAAAGGTCTCAGGAGGCGAAGGGGTCAGAGTGTGAGGAAAGAATGCGATCTTTTGTCACATTCCTTCTTGCCACTCTCTTCCGACTTTTGCCTCATCTCAACGTAAGCAAAGCGGCTCAATGTATTTTTCCACTTTATGTAATATCATTTGCTATGTGGTTTAATTATTATTACTATCCTTTTTCTGTTGTTGTAACTTTTACTATTTCATAATTCGTATTTCTTTATCTGCATTTAATATTTTGTAATTTGAATTCCTATTAGTCTGTTATAATTATAATTTTAAATGTAACTATTATTTATATTAATCCCCCTTTTACATTTTATAGTTGTAATTTCATTTTCTACAGGTCTCTAACATCCCCTCTTGCACTTCATACTCTTTAATTTAATTAGCTAATTAAATATATCTATTAATTTGATTAATTCTCCCATTTTTCATATTTTGTATTAGCTTGGTATTTTAATTTCATTTTCTGTATATTTGTAGACTGATGATGACGGCAAAGCCGTTGAGAGCAGACACTCTAAATACACTTTAAGTTGGTGGAAATGACAACTTTTATTTTTTCACTTTGGATAACGTATTTTGCAAATGTGTACTCACTCTTAAAATATGAAATAATATTTTGGGAAATAACCCTGAGAGCTCTCGGACATTTATTATCCAAAAAAGAATACTGAGAACAAGGTGTTTGTATTAAAATGTTTGATAATGTCACTAGTACATCTTAAAGATGATGACTATTACTAAAAATGGAATTTTATTAAGACTCATTAAAAGAACAAAATTAATCTTGGTAAAACTAACGAAAACAGTAGTTAATCTCATTAGTTTTAATATTATTACCCTATTTCTTTATGTGTGCATTAATAAAATTCTATTTTAAGTGGGAAGAACACTTCCCACACGATTGAAGGGTTAATAGGAAAGTGCAGAAGTAACAACTATGATACCCCATATTGTTTTGTAACAAGATAATTTAAAAGCTGATGTAACAAACATTTAACACAACTGCCATTAACGTAATTAAGGATAAAGAAACCACTTAATCAATTTGGTTTAGAGTAAACTACAAATTATCTACCACAAATTCCAAAAACTTATTTGAATCAAATAAATCTGATTTAAATAAAAAAGTGTAATTTAAATAAAAAAAATGCTATTTAAATAAAAGAATGCTATTTAAATAAAAAATGTAATTTAAATAAAATATGTAATTTAAATAAAAAATGTAATTTAAATAAAATATGTAATTTAAATAAAAAAATGTAATATAAATAAAAAATGTAATTTAAATAACAAATGTAATTTAAATAAAAAGCTTTGATTTCAACAAAAAATCTAATTTAAACAAAAAAATGTGATTTAAGCAAAAAAAAAGAAGATTTTATTAAATATCATTTAAATTAAAAAATCTGATTTAAATAAAAATGTGATTTAAATTTAAATTTAAAAAAAAAAAATCGTGATTTTTTTCTAGCCCTAGAAAGCATTAAAGGGAAAAACAAACAAATTCTGGGTGTAATAATAATAATAATAATAATAATAATAATAATAATAATAATAATAATAATAATAAAAAACACTTTGGACGATAATAGAAATGTGAGGCATTATTATTATTACTATTATTATAATAATAATTATTAATATAATTATTAATATAATAATACATTAATAATAATATATTATTATTATTATTACTACTACATATTATTATTAAAATTATTAATGGTAATGAAATGAATAAAGAATGAAAATTCTACAGAAGTGAGGGCAATGTGGGAAAGGCAATAGGAGATTTTAGTTTTTATTTTAGCTAGCAGTGAAAAAATCAACACCTGGAAAATGATGTAAGCCAGCAGGGGGAAGGCGAAGGGAATTAGGTCAATAAATTGCAGATTGCAAGCCTTTCCTAAATATTGATTTTTATTGAAAGATTTATGTGATGAATACATGGGTTATGGAGTGAAGGTGGAAAATGTGGAATAATCAACGGAACTGATGATTTCCTGAGTGGCGACAGAGAAAGAGGTGGTGGATCATGAGAATGGCTTTGCTCTCTTATTCCACACAATTGCCCCCATCAAATAATTATTATATAAAGGTTATCCATTAAATCAATCCACACAAGGGTTACATGCTGTGTACACAATTGCTCTTGCAAACATTTGACCTCTCACTGAGCCGCATCTCACTCTTTCTCTCCCGAAGGCCACAAAGTATCTCCACTTTTACTAATACATAAACTACCTTTTTGCTTCCCCTTAGATTTCCGAGAAGCAATTTTGAGTGTGAATCACAGAGACGCCTGAGGGACTGAAACCGAAGTGCGGAGCTTCCTTGCGAGAGCACTTTTCTCCCTGTGAGTATTTCAGAACAGTGATTCGTCAATGCATTTGAGCGTTTTAAATTCGGTAGGATTATTTTTAAACTTTTTAAACTTATGCCCAGTAGCGCCTCTTGAGTTTCCTCTGGGAGGGATCAACCATATTAAAATACGGAAATACTTAGTTAAGTCTATTCATTTGTCTTATTTGAACAGTGATACTCTCCACAAATGTAAGCAAACACACTAAAAGTTTGTTATGTAATATCTTAGAAATGCTTTTAAATACTTTTGCATTGTTGAAGTGGCTACGCAACAAAGAATCAACATTTTTTATGTATTCTATAATTCCTACAAATACGCCTTTGGTACCTGAACAAGTTCATTGATCATGACCTAGAAGTTGCAGATTGTACCCTCCACATAATTTCAATAACCTATTATTTAGGAAACATCTCAATTTTTTGTCATTAAATCATAGTGAAAACGAACACATTCTTCAAGTACTACTCAGACCTTCAGATGTCACATTTTTCTACAAATTGAAAACTGACAGCGTTGTCTTTGTTTTCTTGATAGTCCAAGTTTTTTTCAGAAGATCTTTTAGATCGCACATCCCTCCCTTTGTTGAACTATCATCACCTTCAAACAGCAAGCATATGAAACAACACAGTGTGTTCTTCACGTCGCAGCCACAAACAGGAAACTTTGTCATAAAAAAAAAAATTTCGAGTAAATTCTCTCCGATTCTTCCGAGCCATCTACACTTGTTGTTGGATGTTTAATTTAGGTACTGGGCGACCGCTCTCTCTTCATTTAATTTTTTTTCGGTAAGCACAAGGAGCTTAACGCGGGTTTTTAAACTCGCGAACAGGAACTTCTTTAGAGGGATCAAGGGGCGCATGGGAACGACGACGCAAAAACAGCGCCAGCGG